TGTAAGCCAGAGCTGTCTGGTTACTTGAAACATGAGAATCGCTGAGATCTAGACTCTTACATCATCAATAATCTAGCATTCTTTCCTTTAAGGAGTTAGCCTTTGCCTGGGTTATTTAGATTCAGGGCTTTTTAGGGAGGAAGAGTGACATTATTTGTTCTACATCTGAAACTGGTTTATATCTGCCTGAAGCCAGCCTGGAGACATCCAAATCCCCTTTGTCTGTGAGTGAAGCAAAAATAAATCTGGGTGATGAACCTGATCACTATATCATCACACAGCACTTCTTTGAATTCTTATGAAAAGTGCCTCTATTATGTCATTTTTTTTGTAGGATGAGAAAGAAAAATACTCATCATTGCTTCTTTCCTACTGGGTACTATAAACATTTTTTTTCTATTATTATAAGTTAAGAAGAATTACAGTACCACAGAAGATGACTTAACCCACCTTCCTGCACCCTATTCCCAATCAAGTATCTTCATTCTCTTCCTTATTGAATTTACTGAACTTTCTTTTCTTGTGATCATTTCCTTTATGGAATTCTTATGATTTTAATATTTTAATCAAGCTTGAAGGATTGCATATATACCATTCTCTCTCCTAATACTGAATTCAGTAATGGTACTTTTTGCAGTTATTTTATTTCTTCTCTAATTTTTTTATATGTTTGGACTCAATGGTTTGGTAGAAAGAGAGGGAATCTAATCTGAATCTTCAGTGTTGTTTGCTTGTTTTTGAACACTGAACAAGTTGATTAAGCTCAGTAACCCACAGTCACCTCATTTGTAAAATGAGACCAGTACTAATTCAGCGTATAAGAATAATATAAAAGCATAAAGGTAATACATTTAATACTTCAGAGGATATTCAATAAGTAATAAACTTTATATGGTTGGTAACTGCTTGATGCAGTGGCAAAAAGCATGGGCTTTCAAGACATTCAAACTTTTTTTTTTCCTTTGATCTTTGGGCCACACCACATGGCATGTAGGATCTTAGTTCCCCGAGCAGGGATCAAACCCACACCCCCTGCATTGACAGCACAGAGTCTTAACCACTGGCATGTCAGGAAAGCCCCCAAATCTTTTTTTCTTTTAATTTAAATTATTTATTGATTTTACTTTACAACATTGTATTGGTTTTGCCATACATTGACTTGAATCAGCCATGGGTGTACATGTGTTCCCCATCCTGAACCCTCCTCCCAACTCCCTCCCCATCCCATCCCTCTGGGTCATCCCAGTGCACCAGCCCCAAGCACCCTGTATCATGCATCGAACCTGGACTGGCGATTCATTTCATATATGGTAATTTACATGTTTCAATGCCATTTTCCCATATCATCCCACCCTCGCCCTCTCCCACAGAGTCCAAAAGACTGTTCAATACATCTGTGGCTCTTGCTGTCTTGCATACAGGGTTATCGTTACCATCTTTCTAAATTCCGTATACATGCGTTAGTATACTGTATCAGTGTTTTTCATACCTCATTGTGGTTTTGATTTGCATAGGATTATTAGCTGTGCAGGTCACTTGTTATTACTGAGCCTTCCTCCTCATTCATAAAAAGCCCCTCATATGAATTAGAAATGAGAAATATGAAACTCCTACTTTGGCCATGCCAGGAATATAGCAAGTACTTGGGCTTATATTATTTGTTGCCTGAACCTTTATTGAATTGCCTTTTAAACACACTTAAATTCATCCATGATTATTTTCTTGCATGTTTGGTTTTGCATCTTGATTTTATTACCATTGTATAGGCTATTTTTGTGTTAAGGTTAACCTTAAGAACTAAAGTACATCTTATATGCTACATATTTCCCTGTTAAGAATTGAATTCAGTTTGAGGCAGAAATGTTTTTAAAGGTCAACCATGGATTATTGTTGCTCTTTCTTACTCCTTTAATTTGATAGATAAGCTCAAGGCAAAGTGAAATGAACTTGATGGCCTGTGTATCACAAGCTAGAAAACAGTTTCCCATGAGTGAGACAAAGTATAATTTTCACCTGAGCTGGACACTTGGAAAGCTCATGATTGTTCACTACCAGCAGATGAGCAACGCACTGAGATCAGGCCATCCTGTGTTTGAACTGCAGCTTTCTACATTTATGGTTTTGTGTGTTTAATTTAGCTACTCTGCTTTTCAGTTTTCTCATCTGTAATCCAGGTTAATTAAGGGCATTCCTTAATTTAAAAAAAATGAGGTACAGAGCAACTAATATAGAGACTGAAAATATGTTTCATCTCACAAATGTGATCTAAAACTTGGTTGGTACTGGCTGAATGAGGGTGAGGTGTTAAGGAGCTGTGTGGGGCTAAGTGAGAAAACCTTCTGTGCACCTGAAGGTATAGAATGGGAGGAGTGGGTACATGTAAGTCAGATGCTGGTTCCTTGTGGTTCGCTACCCTAATTCACAATAAACATTCAATAAATGCCATTGCCATAATTATTATTGAGATACAGCAAATGATTACTTGAAGTTTTTCTAAGTTGTAATCCATAGAACCTAAGCAGGCTGATTATTTACATTTTTCATATACTTGCCAAGATGCATTATTACATTATATTTTTTATTTATGGTCCTTTGATATTTTCCCACCTCACAAGCTTTTTAACTTAACACGTTGCTTATGAGTTCTTACTGAACAAAGTAAGTCAAGTTAAATAGTTAGCAAATTAATAATATTTCATTTCAAAATGGGTTTTAATAATGATAGATTTCTGACTTGGAAAAAAAGGAGGAGTATGCTTTTTGAAATGATTTTCAAACATCAACCACTTAAATATGAAATTTTGAATCTCAGAAGCACCATGGACTTAGGATTGCCCTGTACTTTCTCTGTGTCGGTAGCTTACTGTTCTACAAACTCGTTGTGTTTTTAAATAAACTAAAAGTAGAAGCCATATTAAATGCAGTGATTGTCAACTTCTAAAAGGTGATCTCTGAGCAGTTGAAGACTATAAGTAGAATTTCAGATTAATTCCAAACAGAACCTCATAAAGCAGACCCATCTTTCAGCTCTGACTCTGAAATTTCTACTGGCTTTAAAATCCATTTCAGAGGTGGTTGAATTTTGGTTATCATTAATTGCTTTAAATTTTTTAATACTTGATTTTACATTTTTATATAAATCATATCTAATATTTAGTATAAAGAAAAGGTTCACTCTCCCCAAGAAAAATTATTGTTTGCTTTATTTGGAAATGTTTATTAGTTCAACATTGCAAAAAGAAAATTGCCTGGCAGTGTTTTACTTATTATAAGATATGATGATAAGACAATATAATTATTATAGAAACATGAAAAAAAATCTGTACCTAATCCTACCACTCTTAACAACTATGCATATTTTGTGTATTTTAGTCTAGTCTTTGGTCTTTGCTTCAGTACTTCTTGCATCTCAACCTGAGCACTTGATTATGTCTAACCAAATTCTTCTTAAATGGAAACATGTTTTAAGCTTTAGGGAAAAAAAAATCAAGCTATCATTTTTATGATAATATAGTTTAAGGACTGTTTTCAGAACTAGAAAAACATAGATGTGTGAGTGGTGCATACATTTTTGTTTATGTTACGTGTAATTTGCCACCAATATTTTTACTAACTGGACAGGCAAAGGGCACTCAAAAAGCCTGGAGATGCAGATCAATTCAATTCATCAAACATATTTGTATTGACAACACTGTGGTAATGTAAAGAGAATTTGATTAAAATAAAAGAAAGCTAGCTCTTTCATTGAAGCAAAGATGTACAACCAGTGTGGGTGATACATCTAGGAAAAGCCTCTGATTATTCCTCTAAATGGAAAGAGCCATCACAATTATGATTAGTTAAACTGTTATAAAAATCTTCTTGAAAAATAATGCTGGTCACCAGTTTGTTGGTTGGTCTCAGAAATTGAGTAGTTTCTACATTTGAAGTGTTTAATGTAACTATAATATTTAATTTAAATACACAAATCATCTTGCAATCTAATCTTCCTATCAAGTGGAATATTCTTTAAACTGTAAGTGTAGAAAGGAGAGGCGGGTGGTGATAAGATGGCAGCTGATACACTTTTGGCTTATTTCTGATTGTTTTCTCTTATTTGGCTGTTAATGAAAAGCTATTTGGTGGGCAAAATTTATATAAGTTGAAAATAATAGCTGATGGCTGAAAGGCCTTAGACTAGCTTTGTACTTGGTAGTGGGCATGCTAAATAATTGTCACATATTCATTGTATTTTCCAAATGAAACTGGTAAATTTTACTTTACTTGTTAAAATATAAAATGCAGATAATTTCTGAAAAAACTAAGATCTAGCACCAATGCTTCTTCCCAAATATTTTTGGTTCCTTTCTCCCCCGCCCCCCAGCCACATTGCATATGGGCTCTCAGTTCCCAGACCAGGGACCGAACCCATGTCCCATTGCTTCTGCAGGGATTGAACCTGTGTCCGTTGCAGTGGAAGAATGGAGCCCTAACGACTTGATCACCAAAGAATTCCCTTTAACTTCTTCATTTAATATTACTTTCTCAACAGAGTTTTCAACTTTAGTGGGTAGGACCTTGAACTTTTGTTGTTTAGGTCCTGCATAATACTCTCCACTTAGTAGTTATTCTGTAAATACTTGAGTTTGTAAAGGAAAGAATGAATATGAATAAAAAAGAACAAATGATTGTAGATAAGAAAGACCCAACCTTAAAAAATGAAATGGTGACAAAGCACATATGATTGAGAGTTAGACATTTATAGATTAAAAAAAATCAAAGCTTTACTGAATACTACATTTTTGACTTAGGCATTTCACTTAATTTTGCCAAACATAAGTTTTCTCATCTGTGAAATCGACAGAATGATGACTTTAGGGGAATCAAATGAGATAATGGATGAGAGTACTTCTCATAGAATCTGAAAATATATGGAATATAAACATGTGATATGATGCTGTTGCAAATGTTCTTGGAAAACTGTATCATCAGATTGATTTTTCTTTTGATTCTCTTGTCAGGTGAAGCATACATGCGATTAAGCATGCTCCCTGAAGCAGAGCATTGGTATATGGAATCACTGAGATCCAAGACTGACCACATCCCTGCTCATCTTACCTATGGGAAACTACTTGCTCTAACAGTGAGTAACTGTCTCTCTCACCCTTTAGAAATTGGTTCTCCTATGCAGATTGAGGTAGATAGGGTCTGAGGTACCAGTTCCTAGCCAGTTAATCCAGACTGTTAGGATGTAATGATGGTCATACTAAATTAGAACAATGTACAAAAAATATAGAAAAATGAGTTCCTTTGGCTATGGGATTTGCCATAGATAAAGTATGATGTGTATCCTTGATGTACTTAGTTGAAATATATAAATGGAGAACCCAAAATTTGTGATTATATAATGAACTTGTCAAAATAACAATATTTGTATAAAGATTATGTTCTGTAAGCCAATGTTAACCCCAGATTGGCTATAACACTGGATTCTTTCCAAAAAGCAAGTATTATATAAAACATTGCATGTGTGTCCATCAGTGTCACCTAGAATTCCAATTAACTAGAAGTCATTCTGTAAGAGAAGTGCACCCATAATTTGGCTACCCACTGTGTGATGAGTCTCTTGGCCATATTTCTATGAAAGCGATATTGGAAGCATAAGGACTTGTTTATTGTCAACCACTGTGACTTACAAAAATTGTAATTTTATGTGCTTCAAAGTAATAATAATGTTTTTTTGTTTTTTACAGTCAGAGATTGTTCAAAATATTTCGATAGCTTTTCTGAGTTCACCAACTAATAAATGATACAACTAGCCTTCAGTCTGAATCTAAGTATATTGTCTATGTTATTTTAGTCATATCCCTTAATTTCTCTCCAGTGTTACTAAAAATAAGTGAATATTAGCAAAATTAGCAAAAACATAGAATGGTCAGGAAAGTAATTCCTAAGTAAATTCATAGAAAGGTATCTTATAATTGTTTAAAAATAATGTTATTTCCCATAGAAGGTGATAAGCTAAACAAGTACAAGTATTACCTTTCCATTCTAAGATACCACTGAAATGCTATTTAGAGATTATATAGGCAGACTAAGTAACCAGAAAACGTCTCACTACAACACATCTAGGTGTGCTTAGTAAATACAACAGATATGCTCTTAATGCATGGCTCAGCTCAAAGAGTAGGAAGAGAATTTCCCCAGGGTAGAAATAAAGCGGTAACTAAACACCAGAATGGTAAACAGTAGGCTGACCTTAAAGTTGATTTGGGATAATTTACTAGTCTTAACAACCCATGAGAAGGAGCTTATTGTCTGTCTTTCCTTCTTGATGGAATAAGAGGTGAAGTCTTAGACAGACAGAAGGCCAAGAATTAGGTGTCTCAATAAAGTATGAAAGTTCATATCCTCTGTGAAAGAACAATGTAGAAAAAGTTCACATACTGGTAAAAGAGGGCAGCATGAAAGTTTGCCTGTCTCAGCATGGAATCTGAAATCTTTGCAGAGAATTTGTCACCACTGTACTCCCCTCACTGGGGTTTGGGTTTTGAATTAACTTTACTTGAATGAGCAAGGAATTCCTAGGCCAGGAAATTAAAGTCAGTTCATTGAAAACTCTAGCTGAAGATGATACTAAACATGTCTTTTGAGAAGACATATTTAAATCTAGAAGGAGATTTACAGAGTGGGTTTTGAAAAGAACGGTGAGCACAGAAATGTTGATTGTGTGAGTAAATCAGAATAAACTTTTACTGAATAAAATATTGAGAAGGAGTAACCTCATAGGAACAATGAGAATGGGAGGGGAGGTGACATTTAAGTTGATTTTTGGAACTCAGGTAGCAGAAAGAGGTGTTACAACTGATTCATCAAAACAGAATAAACCACTGTCTAAAGGAGGTTTGGAATGGGATAAAAATAAGAAATCTAGAGACTCAAGACTTGGTGGTAGCTGACAAAGAAGAGAGTGCATTAAGGAGAATAAAATAGGCTAATCAGTTGTCTCTCCCCGTGTGCACAACCCTAGTAGCCAAGCACTCACTGCAAGTCAAGGGAAGGTATGTTCTTGGTGGTGAGGCAGTGGAATGAGACAGCTCTCTCACTCAAACAGCTTGCCCAGTCGAGGGTGGAATGCAGAGCAGAATGAAAAGAGGACTGATCAAATGTTTTCCAGTGGAGTACTCAGACTGTCAATACCTGTCCCCTGTTACTTGCAGAACACAACTACACAAGAGTTGATACCCCCAGCCAGCAACACATATACACAAACCTCACCTCCCAAGAAATGGTAGCATTTTTATCTGGAGAAACTGAATCACTCTGGGGAAAAGATTTCCATATACCTACATTTGGAGATCTCTGAAAATGACTAGCTCCCTAATCAGACTTATGAAAGTGACTCTTTCCAGTCCAGAAAGCACATTTATGCCTGAAGAATTCATTCAGCTTTTATTAACTCAACTTGTAAAATAACAACGGGCAATCAGAGATCGTCTCTCGTATTAGGAAACCCTGAAATGTAAAAGATTGGAGCTGAAACAAATGGATTAGCAAAAGGAAATGAGGGAACAGAAGGAAAAAATCGTTCGAGATGGTAATATAGCATTTTGTGGAGTGCAGGATGATATAAAAAAATAAATATGAAAAAACGAGAGCTTTTAGAAATTAAAAAGTGATGGCAAAACAATTTTCATTTGAAGGGTAGGAGAGTAAAAATGTTGAAATGTTTTCATATACAAACAAAAAAATGAAATAAAATATGTGAAAGAAAGAATTAAGAAAGAAATTAATATGGGGCCCCAAAAAATAAGGAACAGAGAAAGAGAAAGAACACGACTCAGAATTGCAGGGTATGAGTTGCTGTTTGGTTCGTTTACAAGATCGTACTATGTCTAGTCTAATCAGTTAGAAAAAAATGTGTTTTACCTTATGAAAACCTTTTCCATTTCCTATTCTGATAAGATGGTAATTCACACAGCTCCAAATAAGAAGAGAATTCATATACATCTCTTGCCGCAACTACTGTCTTTAGATGTTCTTATGGAATTAAAATAGAAACATTTTAAATTAGATTGATAAATGGCCACCTTCAAAAAATACCACATTCAAAACTAAAATTTTCAAATGCCTGATTTATCTTTCCTCCAATAAAATCACTTGGAAAGGAAAAACATTGAAAACTTATCTGTACCTAATTCTGAATATACCTAGACTGTGACATAACTTTGTATATAGAAACTACGTATCCTTTATTTTTCCTTCTTGTTTCAAGTCTAAATATTTTAAGTTTCCTGTACTAAAACTATGATTTTACATGCTGCTTTATTTTTAAGAAGATGTTTTTAAAAACAAAATTTAGCAGTTTCAATTTACTGAAGCATATGGAAGGAAGGGAAGAAAAGACATGTATTACAATTCAAATTCTAATCCCCCCCACCAATAGAACTTTTATAGTTTCCGACTTGCTGATTAGATGAAATATAAACCCTATTATGGAATGGCTTAAACTCACAGTGCCAAAATGTCCAAAACCATCGTTAATAGTTTCTTTTTGAATTATGAGATTTGGCAAATTTTTGATCCCAGTGGATTGCCTTTGTCTAATTTTGGGTTTCTTAGCCTGGTAAAATGCCATTGACTTAACATGAAATTGGCAAGGTAGAAAATGCCACACAATTTGACTCTGAATGCTTTAAATATAAAATATTATAAAATGGAATTGGCTATTACTCTGAAGAGAGAGGAAAAGAAATGGAATGGTGTTTTTACTGTTCCGTCAGAACTGACCAAAAATACAATATGTACAACTGACTTGCAACAAAATTAAACTTATATTGTATATTAAGATTTCATATAAAGAATTATATTTTTCTGAAACAACTTTGACAAAAACAAAAATGTTGGTGCTTTTATTATAGCCAGTGGTATGTCTTTCAGAACATTTTTATACAAATTTTTCTTTAAGAATTTTTAGTATAGATAGTATTTAGAAAAGTTCAAGAAGATTTAGGATTTCCCAGAATGCTTTGACAAATTCCGTAGATCAAATCCTTTTTTTTCCCTCTGCCAAAAATGTCCTTTTCCTCTCTCTGCCTGTTCAAATTTTATTTCCCTCTGTGAAGTCTTGCCTGCGTCTTTTAAGCAATTATTTTTTTTCCTTTCTCTATACTTCCGTGATTTTCAGTGTCTCTGTAGTGGTACTTTTTCAATTGAATGACAAATATAAATCTGTGTCTTTTGACCCTGAATGTGGGGCAGAGACTGAGTCTTTACTTATCTTTTTATACAGTTAGCATAAGGCATTTCCCAGTCTTAGCCACTGTCCTTGCACCCTCCCCTGTATTTCTCTTGTTAGGTTATGCACGGGCTGGCCTTGTGTCATTTTCCCCCGGGTTTGTTTGGATGTAGTTGCTGTGTAGCACTGTGTAAGCTGGGCTTCTCCATTGGCTCAGCTGTAGAGAGTCCGCCGGCAGTGCGGGAGACACAGAGACATGGGTTTGATCCCTGGGTCAGGAGAATCTCCTGGAGGATGAAATGGCAACCCACTCCAGCAATCTTGCCTGGGAAACCTCATGGACAGGGGAGCCTGCAGGTTACAGTCTGAGGGGTCCCAAATATTTGGACACGAGTTAGTGACTAAGCAACAACAACAGGCTATATGTTAAAGGCATACAGGTAGCTGATTTTTAAATATTCTTGTTTCCCTAGTCTGAATCTCATGTCCTCATTAGTCCCTTCATTTTGCCAACATGTGCATTGAGATTTATTAATCCATGCTAAGGCATCACTCTAATTCCCAGAGGTATATACTGAATAAATGAATGAGAGTGGCTTAATTGTAGAGTGGATACAGTATAATTTTCAAGACCCTGGAAGGGGAGGTAGGCACAAGAGGGTGTACATCTCCTCAATGTCTGTGATTGATATGTGTTATTTCATGAAGCTTTATGATGAGTACTACCTTCGTTTCATAAATGAGAAAACTGAGCTTCTAAGATTTAAGATATGTCCCAAGAATAAATAAGCTACTCAATAGTAGAATTGGATACATCCTCAAGGACTTCTGAATTAAGCATCGTTAATATTCATTCTATATTAAATAATTTTGTGTGATGCTTTCCTCCCTTTTATACCTGATTAGAGATGCTAAAAGTAAGCTGGTAATCCTGCCTCCCCATAAGGTATGAAAATAGCTTATTTCTAGGCATTACCTCTAAATACTAGTTTAGTTTGAATGGGTAAACACATTTTTATTGTTAAGCTTTATAGTTCATGAGCTTAGGACTTCTGTTTTTGGCTATTGAAACTTTTTAGGTCCTGTGTTAATCACCAATGTTCCAGGGTGCCCTAGAAAATAGTTAGTTCTGCTTTAGGGTCATTGGTAGCCTCCATGTTTAAATATAGTTGGACCTGGGTGACCCAACTGTAGAATATATAGAACTTTCATACCAATGTCATGTCCAGTTAAAATATTAAACACAAGTTCTCTTTAAAATTGTGATTTATTCCTTGTTTGAACTTTGTTACCTAGGACTAATGCCATGAATTTAAAATTGGACAAGCATTGAGAAAGAAAGGAGTAAGTTTCCGTTATCACCATGTTTCAAATGGTTTTATAGTTATTTCTAAAACCATGTATGTACTTTAGTTGTGTGTACATCCTTACTTTTTTGTTTTTTGGTTTTTTTTGATCCTCCTTTTGCCCTTGTTCAGTTTATTTCAGCCAAATATTTTGTAGTTTTTTTGAGCCAGTGAAATTAGTATTGATTTAAATTGTAGTAAAAGGAACTTGGCTGTTAGGTTATTTTCCAGATTTAGGTTAGTAAGAGAGAAGGAAGGATATGGGAGACTCTGACAGTAATTCTTGATACAGCAAACCTTTATTTTGGCTACTGCATGGAAGTACTGAGCCAGATTTCTGTGTCTAGCCAAAGTTAATTGGGCTACATAAAACTCCAGTTGTGAAAGTACTTGAAGTTCCATGGAAAAGTTCCATACCCCAGGCTAGAATGGTGTCAGTGTAGTTTATCTGGAAGTGCAGCATTGTGTGTTTCCTTGGGCCTTTTGTAATGATTATTACTGTTTAGAGCTGAGGTTATTTTTCCATTTGGTCTTCTCTAAAGCAAAACTCTTCCCACTTTGCACGTTGACTAACATTTAGGTTCCTTTGTTTTATTATAATCACCGTACAGTCATGTTTAGATTGGAGGGAGCAGGAAACAAAAATTTTTCCTGTGACTCACTGAATGAGTATTACGGACATATACCCTTGAAGTTACAAAACTTATTCTGTGAAAAGAGAAGGCATATATCACATATATTGTGCTACTGAAATATTGACTGAAATATAGAAGAAAATTCAATGCAGTGTTCAGCTAAGCATTTTATATGAAGTTGCCATATCTAAACTTATTAGCATTCTGGCAGTAATTCACTTATCATTGTATTATTTTTACTCTAAATCATAATGAATCTTATAGTTTTTATGCATTTTGGTATGTATAATCAATCTCTTTTTAAATTTAGGTATAATTATAGAATCAATCTTATAATTACTCTACTTGTTGCCACCAAGTAACCTATGAATCCAAGTACCTCTGAAGTATATCAGAATTTTATTCTGCTTTTGCATGTCAGTTATTGAAAGTCATTGTTAAGAGATACTTTCTTTTGTCAGATATTCTCAGAAATAGTAAAATTAAAATACTCAAATTCTCAGGCATTGAAAGTCATGTGAAATAATGATACCTGGCTTTATATATAAGTATTATGATGCTATGTTTGAAAAGAAATGTTAGCTTTTTATTTAGGGATAAATAAGATGATACTGGGTTTCCCAGGTGGCTCAGTGGTAAAGAATCTGCCTGCCAATGTAGGAGACACGGGTTTGATCCCTAGGTTAGGAATATTCCCTGGAGAAGGAAATAGCAACCCACTTCATTACTGTTGCTGGGGAAATCTCATGGACAGAGGAGCCTGGCGGGCTACAGTTCACTGGGGTTACAAAACAATCATATACCATGGAGTGACTGAGCATGATACAACATAACCTAACATCACAATTTCCACCTTGCTATTCTTTCTGCTGCATCATGTTGACTTTCCTGTCATATAGTAAAGCATGAACACATTTTAATGTGAGTTAAACTTTGTTTATAATTTATGTTTTTCTAGTTTGATAATTTTAATAGAAGAAAATTTGAGCATGTTTAGTTATTAAAACAGCACACTTATTTAAACCCATGTTTACTTTTTGCTCAGTTGGTAAAGAATCTGGCTGCATTGCAGGAGACCTGGGTTCGAGCCCTGGGTAGGGAATATCCCCTGGAGAAGGAAAGGGCAACCCATTCCAGTATCTTGCCTGGAGAAGTCCATGGACAGAGAAGCTGGGCAGGCTACAGTCTGTGGGATTGCAAAGAGTTGGACATGGCTGAATGATTAGTTTTACTTTATTTTTTTAAAAGGTGGTACTGACCGCATACATTTTCAAAACAAATGTCTTCCATTCCAGTGATTGGACCAACACTTCCTAAAGAAAGTTGCCTTTTTTTCCCCCGTAACATCTGGATGTATGTATGTGTGTGTATTTATACAAGCAGATCTACACACAGAGGCATATATGTAAATGAAGCCACATCTGTTCTGAAATGTGAGAGATTTCATTTTTGAAGCCTCATAAACAGTAAATAGTACAGATGAACCTATTTTCAAAGCAGAAACAGAGACACTAGGCATAGAGAACAAATGCACGGACACCGAGGAGAGAGCGGGTGGGCTGAGTCGGGAGACTGGGGTTGACAAGCAGACACTGCTGGTCTGCGGTGCGGTGCTCAGTCATGTCTGACTCTGTGTGATCCCATGGACTGTAGCCCCCACGCTCCTTTGTCCATGGATTCTCTAGGCAAGAATACTGGAGTGGGTTGCCATGCCCTCCTCCATTTATACACTACGACGTAAAAATAGTTAACTAGCGAGAGCCTACTGTATAGCACAGGAGAAGGAAAGGTTCAGCCTGTTCACAGGACATATATTAAGTTAACCTTACAAATGCATTTCAGTGTACATTAGGTACAGACAAATACTGTTTGATTCCACTTACACAAGGTACCTAGAATAGTCAAATTCATAGAGTCAGAAAGTATACTGGTGGATACCTAGAGCCAGGGAGTAGGGAGGGAAAATGGCGAGTTAGTGTTTAATGAGGACAGTTTCAGTTTAGGAAGGTGCAAAATTCGAGATGGATGATGGTGAGATTTGCACAACGATGTGAAGGTACTTACTGCCACTGAACTATACAGTTCAATTTGGTTAAAACTGTATATTTTATACTGTGTGACTTTTACCTCAATAAAAAAAATGAAAAAATAAAAGCAGGGGCTACTCTTTGTTGCGGTGTGTGGGCTTCAGTAGTTGTAGCATGAGGACTCAGTAGTCATGGCATACAGGCTTAATTGACCTAAGGCATGTGGAATCTTCTCGAATCAGGGATAGAACCATGTCCCCTGCAAGCAGATTCCTAACCACTGGACCACCAGGGATGTCCAAGAAATCTCATGTATTTTTTAATCTTATTTCTACATTGGTACTTTCTTTTCTCTGACTTTAAGATTTTCTGTTCGTCTTTAGTTTTCTATAGTTTGGACACACTATGCCTAGGCTTATTATTTGGGTAATTTATCTGGTTTAGTGCTCTCTGTGTTTTCTGAATCTATGGTTTGGCGTTTATTATATTTTGGGAAGTTGTGCATCAATATTACTTTAAATATTTCTTCTGCCCTCTTGTCTTTCTTTCCCATCTGATATTCCAGTTACTGGTGTATTACATGTTTTGAAATTTTCCTGTAGTTCTTGGATGTTCTGTACTTTTCATTCATTTTTCACATTACATTTCAGTATGGGAAGTTTCTACTGACTTATCTTTAAATTCATTGACTCTTTCTGTGGTCATGTTGAGTCTTCTAAAAATCTCATTAAATTTATTCTTCATTTCTGTTATGATATTTAGCTTTTCCTTTTAATTCTTCCTTAGAATATTTCTCTGCGTACATTATACATGTGTTCCTGCATGTTGTCTCCTTTTTCCATTAGTCTTTCACATGTTAGTCATGGTTATTTTAAGTTTCTTTTCTGACAGTTATAACATGTTTCATGTTTCAGTATCTTAGTATGGTTCTGTCACTAACTTCATCTTTTTGGACTGTGTTTTTCTTTCCTTTTGTCATGCTGTGTAATTTTTTTGTGTGGGATGTTGGATATGTTCAATTCATAATGGAGTATATTTCACAAAGACTATTCTTATTCACCTGCCTTCACCAGGAGGGCATCTTTTTTGGTTCTTTACTGTGAGAACCTTGCTGGGTTCTTTGGAAATTAAGACCATGAAAGAGTGGGAACCACACTCTCCACCCAAAGACTGGCTTTCAGGAGTTTCTCCCTCTCAGGCTAATCCACGTTGCCTTCCAACAGGTCATTAAAAGTAACTACTTATAGTGTGCCCATCAGTTCAGAGCTCCTAATTTGATGAAGACTCTTTGGGAGGTTGATGTCTAATGAGTTCTATGAAGCCTTCATGGCACATTTACCAATTGAGATCAAGAGGGCCTGAGATGTTGACAGTGGTAATTTAGACCTGAGCTGAAGACGGTTAAGTAGACTATTAAATTGTCTATCTAAAGGCAGAGAAGTTCAGACTTCCTATTTTCCATCTCTGTGTCACCTCTGTACTTGATTTTTTTCCTATTTAGTGACCCACTTTTTCTTGCGATCTTACACATTTTCTCTTAAGAGAGAGAGAAAATCTTATTCTGTAATAATGCCAAAACACCCATGTGTGTGTGCTTCTCCCGCACACTCTGCTGAGACTTGGGAAGGATCCAGTTTGGAGATATGCTTGTCATACGCATTTATACATACAAACTCATTCTCCTGGTAATCTGCCAGTGTCTGACCATTTACTGTGTGTATGTTTTCCCTTTTTGCCTGGATTAAAGGTTCCTGTAATTGGATATGTGCTACTTCTGGTCACTTCACACTCTGGAAATTAAAGTGAATGAGCTTTGCTCACTAAACAATGCTTATTAAACATTGTTTAATATTTAATTTCAATAGCTCTTTCTTTGTAAGCACAGAAATTTATTATTCACAGAAGGTGACTCAAGAATCATTAGACTAGCAGAAAGTAGAAATTTGGTAACTTGTGTTATTAAGTAACCTTATTTTTTCCAAATACATGGGTTTTGAGATGGTTGGTATCAAATGAACCTTTGTTAGCTTCAGGGCCTTTTAATGGTGTTAAAACAAGGAACGTTTTCTCCATTAGACTGACTTTCTAAATAACTTCCTGAATTTGGATATTGTCAAGAGAACTTGTAAGCCACCAGAACTTGGACTGAGCAGGTACTCTGCTGTCTCGATGCTTGGCCAACTTTTTCTCTGTGAACCAGCTGAAGTATGATACCTCCTTTTTGAGACCTCCCCTCCCTGGACTTGCTCAGACACAACAGATTCCTTGGTCTCTGTGTTCTCCTTAGGTACTATGTGCAGTGAGAGCCCTTTTA